ACATTAATAACAGGCCGACGCAGTGCTTTGCTTTCCCCAAGGTTTCTCCTACTATCGTTAGAAATAGGTTGATTGACGGCCTTAGCACTAATCGCCCGCCACTTGTCAAACCAACTTTGCGGGCGGGAAGGGGCGTGTGTCACTCGGATTTCCAAAAATGGACCCTGATTACAGATGAGCGTCATTTGGTGGCAAGTGAACGCTGGAAACACTCAGGAAATAGCAAAAAAAATCATCACACACCTCGAGAAAAGTTGTACATTTAGGCTACGTTTATATGATGACGGTCTGAACGGAAAACGCAAAACTGGCGCCGCGTCTTCACTTTTTATTCCGCGTTTAGACGAGCGAAATCTGTCCACAAAACTGCGCTATTAATCCAGTTTGAAGCGTTCTTTAAAAGTAAAAAAGTGAGAGTGGTTCTTCATGTGTGTCTGTTTGCATCCACGCAGCGCACGGATCGAGGTGAAGCTGCAGATTTGCGATAGTGATTCTACTTCCTCTGAACTTTATCGCCAATCTGTCATGCTTTAAAATCATGTATCTGAAGTTTTGCACCACATATCACAAATAATAACACAGTTTTGACTTGTATCTAAGACTACGTTCAGACTGCAGCCTGAAGTGACCCAAATCCGATTTTTTGGCCCCTATGCTTCCTGTATCTGATCTTTTAATGACAGTCTGAACGACACAGATCCGATTTTTTCAAATGTGACCCAGGACACTTGGATATGTGCTCCTGAAACCGATACATATCTGATCTTTTGACATGTGACTTCAGTCTGAACGGCCAAAGTGCATTCATCCGACCTACACGTTATCAACAAGCCACAAACGTCACTATTCTGCGCTGAAGTAGGCGAAAATTGTTAATGAACTCCGTGTCACTGAAGCGAAGCACATCACCACTCACCACTCTTGGCTCCGTCTCCACATCCACACGTTCCTTTCAACGGACGTCGCTGCCGCTGCCCCACAAAACACCACGGCCAAAAACCTCGTCCTTCTCCTTCTCAATCTCCTCCTTAAAACAAGTAAGTTGTTCATGTTCTGGCTCCGGTACGAGAGGAACTTTAAAATCTCCAGGTGCTCAATGCTCGCGTCCATGTTTTGGACAACTTCCGTAAACACAGAGCACGCTCGCTGCGGTTGACGTCGTCGTGTCTCCAGTGTCACATGCGGGACACTTTCGGGCCATTTAATGTTCACACTGGAGTCACATACAAGTCACATTTAACTGGAAATGTGAACGACCTCGCAAAAACATTGGATTTCACAAAAAAATCGGAATTGGGCATTAAGCCCTGCAGTCTGAACGCAGCCTAAATTAAAAGTGCAGTGCTCTGATCTTTTGACCACTTAAAGTTATATTTACAGTGAAACTAATCACTGTATCACCGTATCGGAAACGATTTACGTCCAGACACGTCATTTCTGTGTCCGCAAGCCTTCCCTATCCACGCAGCTTTGAGCATATTTGTTTACGTTTTACAGAAACAAAACTTAAAACCACATGGCTCATTTGCATAAACTAAGAGCTCAAAAAACGGTTTGTTCCTTGTGCGCTGACACGGTTCAGCTTCTGTCGGACTTAAAATGGACACGACTCAGTGGAATATGAGTGTTTTTTCTGTGACAGAGGGGTGTTCTGCTGATGGTGAGTCTGTTCTGTGCGAGTAGTTCTATCTCTGCTGCTTCCCGTTTGTCTCTGGTTTGTTTAAACTGTTTTCTGCAAAAGCGTCACACTGACCGATGTCACGAAACCCAGCGAATCAGGAAGGCGTGAGTCACAGTGACGTGGTCCAATAAGGACACAACTAGAGCTCCTACGTCAGAGTATCAGCGATCTGTACTCAGATGAATTCGTGGGAGCTGCCGGGACCAGATCGTTCCGTCTCTGGAGCCGTTTTCCATTTTCGGATTAGTGTGAATGAACACTGCATCTGCAACGAAAACGACTCAAATACGTACTAGTGTGGATGAGACGTAACAGTCTCAAAGCGAGTGGTTTAACTGTGGTCTGCAGACAGATCCCACTGCAGTCTTTGCGATCAGAGATTTTAAGTCTCATAAGATTCTCCTTTTAGATTTTACCCTTTTTGTTGCACGTTTAAATCTTAAGACCGAAAAATCCTGTAGTGTGTGGCGGCCTTTCTTTATACAGTCTATTACAAGGGTATCCAACCTTTTTTCATTTTCCTAAGCTCCTTTTCAAAACAAAAATTCCAGAGAGCTACGCATTTTAGCGGTTGCAAGAAAGTGTGAAAATATAAGAGCCACAGTAATCCTTAGACCAGTCCTGTTAGATGCCTATAAAACATAAACCATTATTCATTTATTGGTACTCAGAGTTAGGCATCAAAATGATACATTTACGCACAATACGGATGATTCAGAAATCTCTTGGCGAGTTATTTGGAAGGGGGTGGAGAGCGACTGTTGCTCCCAGGTCTGTGGTCAAACTGTATATTGAATGTGTCCAACCAAGAAGAGAAATTGTAAACCACCAAAGTTAAAAAGTGGAAAAAACTAGGCAAGGATATTAGTCAAATCTGAAATATAATAATGGTAAGTAAGTTTTAGTGAAAGGAGGAAGTCTAATCTGTCATGCGCACGTTAATGATGACATCTCTGACCCGATCGCGCAGTAAATCCGTCTTTCAGACACACAGACACATGCTCGCAGTTTTGAACCATCATTTTTCTCTCCACGATCGGTACCCGAATGCCCGAGCTCTTTTAAAGTGACACAGTGAAAGTGTACGTAATGGATCAAAGTCAATTCTGTGCACACAAAACGCCGCTGTTGTAAAGTGAAATCGGTCGACCAAACTTTTTATTAGCCACTAAATATTTGATTGGAAAGAAAAAGAGGTACTAGACAGCATGGAAAAGAGGTCTCCAGACAGCACGGGGAGCAGTGTGTGGAGCTGAGGGAGTGATATGGGAGTTTATACAGCTTTTTTACAACCAAATATGCACTTACTTACCTGTTTGTTTCTTTCCTATCAATAGGGCTGCACCGTAAATCTTAAAAAATATCAATATTGCAATATTGTGCTGTTAAATATGGAAGCCAGTTTCCGCCAGTAAATAAAAACTGAAAGCCTCAGAGAAAGTCATAATTACGATTTGTAAAGTCTCTTTTTTAACTCCATAATTACAAGTTTTAAAGCCAAAATTATAGTTTTAAAGTCATAATTATAGTTTTGAAATTATAATGACAAGATTAAAAGTCATTATTACAAGTTTTAAAGTCATATTTGCGAGTTTTAAAGTTACAATTATGAGTTTTAAAGTCATAATTACGAGTTTTAAAGACATAATTATGAGTTTTAAAATCATTATTACGAGATTAAAAGTCACAATTACAAGTTTTAAAGACATAATTAAGAGTTTAAAAGTCATAATTAGGAGCTTTCAAAGTTGATTCTGAACCTACTCCTGCCATGCAAGCACGTGGGCTGGCATCTTCCTGGAAAAGTCATGTATAAACCCAAGGTTGCAAGGAAAAATGTGAAGTTATTTTAATGATTCTCTTCACACTATATCAAAATTATTTGCTATGAGCACATGTTTTCATCACTGAGCGACCTGAAGTAGCCTGTGCCAAGTGCACGGCAAAGCTCATCAATTCCCATCCAGGGCCAGGAGACCAGGCGCTCTGCCGAGCCAAAAGGTGCTTCATCCCCCATTTGGACTAAACCAGCTCCACAGACAGAGTCACATAGATGAACACTTTGCATGTAGTCGTGTGGGATTTGTGTGAATATCTCTCTCTTTTGTCTTTTTACAACATTCACAAGTTAAATGGGGCTGTGGAGAATGTGGAAGCCGTCCTAATCTCATGGAAGAAGACTTTTGCAGGAACATGCCCGTGTGCTTGGATGGCAAAGGCAGATTCAGAGTCGACTATAAAACTCATAATTATGACTTTTAAAGTCGTAATTATGACTTTAAAGCTCGTACTTATGACTTTAAAGCTTGTAATTATGACTTTAAAGCTTGTAATTATGAGTTTTAAACCCGTAATTATGACTTTCTGTGAAGCTTTTATTTTTTATTTGCTGTTGGATTTATGGGCTTCCATAGTTAAGTCTCTCACACAATCACAGTTAATCGCTCTCACCTTTTGGTTGGAAATCAAACTCTTAAACACGACCATGAACGCTCATATTGACCACAGGCTCCTGAAAATGAATTCTTTAAATACATATTGTATTTCTGACAGTATTTTCTAATGTGTGCATTGTGTCTCCATGGTAATTGCTGAACATTCCACCATAGAGATACATGTAAAACACCCCCAGTCACTGGAAAGTATAAATATTGAAAGTTCTCATCTGATTTAAATGCTGTTTTTAAAAATGGTTCTGTTAAATAAGTCCAAAATTAAGTTTTTATTTTGACTAATAACTAGTCATTTGAACAATGTACATTTTTGTTTTATTATAACTGAAATTATTGTGTAAAAAAAGTGTATTTAAATATTGTAATAACAAGGACACCACAGTTCTTAACAGCCACATCACACATCATGCATCACACTGGGGATTATAGTCCACTAGCCCAAATCTGCAGTGGATTAACATGGAGATCAGTCTCTTTTTGTCATGGCTCAATGTACGTCACACAGCCTGAATAAAATGCCCAAGGTGCACTGATTACAAAAATAAAAGTCCTTTGTTCGTACAAATGTGACGCCAGCTCGTTTCCATCTATACGTCTTCATCAGGGCTTAAACCTCGTGTGACACATTCTGGAGCTGTGACAGAAAGAGGCTGATCTTGTTTTTAATGCTCGTCCTGGAGAAGCACCTGTTTTTGCACGTAAAGAATCCGACGATGCCTCAGTCTACTTGTTTTATGCAGTGGATTAAGCTGTTCAGATAAGGTTAAAAACATTAGCTGTAATATGTGAGTGATACGTATTTTGTTAAATGAAAATGTCTAGATCTTGTCTTCCGGTCCTGACTCTAGATTTTCTGTTTGTTCCAGATGCACTCCCTGCGTCTGCTGAGCCAGAATGAGCCGTACAAGATCTTCTCCAGCATGAGCGACAACACCCGGCCCACCCAGCCCCTGCTCCAGCGCTGCATCCGCACCAACATCAACTTCAGCAAGCAGGGACGGGACTGCCCCAACAACCGAGCCCTGCGCCCCCAGTACAGAGGTGAGACCCAACAACCGAACCCCCACAACCGAGCCCCAACAACTGAGCCCCAACAACCCAGCCCCAACAAACGAATCCCACGAACGACCCCCAACAACTGAGGCCCAACAACCGAGCCCCAACCGAGCCCTGTGCCCTCAGTACAGAGGTGAGACCCAACAAACCGAATCCCCACAACCGAGCCCCAACAACCAGCCCCAACAACCGAACCCAACAACCCAGCCCAACAACCGAACCCCAACAACCGAGCCCCAACACAAAAACCGAGCCCCAACAAACCGAGCCCCAACAACCGAGCCCCAACACCCGAGCCCCCAACCGAACCCCCACAACCGAGCCCCCACAAACCCCAACAACCCAGCCCCAACAACCGAATCCCCACAACCGAGCCCCCAGTACAGAGGTGAGTCCCCAAAAAACCCCCCCACAACTGAGCCCCCACAACCGGGCCCTGCGCCCTTAGTACAGAGGTGAGACCCAACAACCGAACCCCCACAACTGAGCCCCACAACCTGTCCCAACAACCGAGCCCCCAACAACCAAGTCCCCAATAACCAAGTCCAAACAACCGAGCCCCCACAACCGGGTCCTGCACCCCCAGTATAAAGGTGAGACCCTACACCCGAGCCCCCACAACTGAGCCCTGCGTTTCCAGTAAACAGGTGAGACCCAACAACTGAGCCCAACAAACTGAGCCCCAACCACAACCGAGCCCCAACAACTGAGCCCCAACAACAACGAGCCCCACAACCCCCTGCACCCCCAGTACAGAGGTGAGACCCTACACCCGAGCCCCCACAACCCAAGCCCCAACAACGAGTCCTGTGCCCCCAGTACAGAGGTGACACCTCTGAGCCCCTACAACTGAGCCCCAACAACCGAGCCCCAACATCCGACCCTGCGCCTCCAGTACAGAGGTGAGTCCCCAACCCCAACTCCCCAACAACCGAGCCTCAACAACCGAGCCCAACAACCAAGTCCCCAAAACTGAGCCCTGCGCCCCCAGTACAGAGGTACAGTATGTCCCTACAACCGAGCCCTGCGCCCTCAATAGAAGAACTTTGAATAGACTCTATAACATAATAGGATAATTTGAACATTGTAGATCAAACGAAGCTGGAGACAGATCAGAAATTGATGGTAGAATTTGCAGTTGAAGTGTCAGATGCAGATTTGTTGACCTGGTTTATGGTTCTTATCTCTGTAATGTCTAGGAGTATCCACATGAAACAAATCTTTCCACTTTCAAACAAAATAAATATTTAGATTGGAATGACGTTATCGCTATGGCAACTGAAAACCATCGTCTGCCTGAAACCTTTTAATGAGCGAAGAAAACCTCCATGAAGATGTCAATATCACTCGGCCTCGCGGTATCGACATTCGCTCAAATCACATGTTATATTGATACGCTTGCCGACGAGGTCATCATCAGTATTCCCTGGGAGTGTGATGCTAACTGGGGGCATGGTTCTGTCTGAGGGTTTGTTAGACTTTAACCCGAGCTTTGATTTAACACAGTCTGAGCATTAAAAAAAAAACTGACTAAGGCTACGTTCAGACTGCAGGGCTTGATTCTCAATTCGGACTTTTTTGTGAAATCCAATTTTTCTGTGAGGTGGTTCACAATTTTCATTAAATGTGACTTGTACGTGATCTCCAGTGTGAGCATTAAACGCCCCAAAAGTGTCCTGCATGCGCATTGGAGGACACAACGACATCACACACAGCGAGTCCAGTTCTTCGTTACACGTCCATGGCCACTTCGTTTGTTTGAGTCCTTAAACTCCTTATATTTGGCTCGCAGGCTCTTTATTTTTCATTACCTGGTCCCCGAAGGTTTGACCAGGTTTTGTATTGACCCTATGTGTCTGTGTGTCTGTCCACCTGCGATAATTCTGCCATTTATGGACCAATGGTCACTAAATTTGGTACGTGGGTCAAGCCCTCATGTCCGATGCTGCAAAAAAAAAAAAAAAAGTTTGATGATGATCTGAGGTCATTTGAGGTCACACGGGTCAATTGAAAGGTCACGGCATTATAAAGGATCGGCAATTTCTGAACCATCTGCTGCCTAAAATATTCACCCAATCATAACACAAGTTGGCACACACATAACCGGGCACACTGGATGTTACAGGTTGAAACTAGTCAAGGTCATTTGAAGGTCAAGGTAACCAAGCTCAAAAATGTTTTTGGGCAAAACTCTGTGAAGGATGGAGCTCGAGCGACGGGAGTGATCTCAAAATCTCAGAAAGATTATTATCTATTTATAATTCTATGCATTTGTATAGTAAAATATTAATAGTTTTCGAGATAATCACTAATTACAACAGTTCTTTTCTCTTTCAGTGTATGTCGTTAATATTCAAAATGGAACGAAAATAATTTCAATTTCTTGTTTTTCTGGTGATACACAACACACTGATCTACAGTCACACAACGAACAGACACACAACTCATGAAAAATTACATTTTCATTACACACTAGTAAACACAGACATTCTCGTGTGTGACCAACATCACACAAATGTTCATGGGCCTGTACAGATACACACATTACATTGTGGATATAACGATCATGTGATATGGGCTGGGCTCCTCATAAACTGCTTCTGTGGTGATGAACTGACTCCACCGATGCCTCATGGGGACCAGGTTTATATCTCTGGTTGCGCTTGTTGCACATTGGAGCCAGCATCGCCTGTAGCCGCGCTCGGACATTTCTTTGGCATCATTTCAAAAACCACCTGATAAGACTCCTCCAATTCAGCCTGAACACAGCGATCACCCCAAATATTAATAAACTCTCTAACTTCGCTTTCCCTCCATTGACAAGACTCCGAGCCTGACGTGTAGGTGGGATGAACGTGACCTGACCGTTCAGACTGACGCCGCATGTAGGACTGTTGCGGTTAGGGAATTTCTACTGCGGTGTGGTACAGCAGCCCAACAGCGTGGTATGCGATGATACTCCACCCCACGCCCACCTCCCCTGGAGTTACAAGAAAACACTCTCCGATGATGAGTTTGTGTCGCAAATGCACATGCACCTTGGTTGTCGCGTGGATATAGCGTGTGAAGCGGGAGAAGTAACATTTGGCTTTGGAACAAGTGCCACTGCATCTCTCTCAGGCTCTCAATGTGGCAGCTCGGGTCAGAGTCGGGTACCCGCGGACTTAAGAGAGAGAGAGAACCACGAGCACGCGGAGCAGGTGTCCACAAAGTGCGATTGGGTGACGACTGCGTTTACCTCCGTGCGGCGCGGAGCTCTGTGCCGGTCCTTTCACCTGCGGTCACCAGACGGTCTACGCGGGCACACCTTAGTCCTGGGTTAGTCCCGGTTTATCACGGGCACGGGCGGTAACGGTTGGAATGTTAACGGGTCCGGGCGGGTGTGGGTCTCCAAAAATATGGACCCGTGCAGACTCTGGGTCGGGTCACGCTGGTCATGTGCGGTGATCGCGGTGGCCCAACATGCACCGCAGTGATTCATTTTTGCGGTTATTGCAACAGCCCTAGTCGTATGTCAAAACATCGGATATGTATCAGTTTTAGGAGCACATATCCAAGTGAACTGGGTCGTCATTAAAAGATCAGATACAGGAGCATAGGGATGAAAAAAATCGGATTTGGGTCACTTCAGGCTGCGGTCTGAACGCAGCCTTAGACCGAACTAAAACAGAGGTGATTTGTGCGCTTAAACAAATCTCTCACACATAAAATCAGAGTTCACCGTGCACCGTTTTTATTGAAAACGCCTAAACAGGACCGTGAAAACTCAAATTGATCGCAGGCTCCTGAAAACGTTTTCCTTAAATCCACGTAGTATTTTTTTCCGACCATCTAAAAACGAACCCTCCCTAACACTCCGCCGTAGACGCACATGCAGCAGCCCCCCCCCCTTCCCCAGCGATCAAGCCTCAATCTCCACACGTCAAAACCCCGCGTCTCTTTCTTTTCCAGTTTTCAAAATCAACACGTTCTGACGGAAGCTTTGTGAGCGATTGCAACATTTCCACCCGTCGGCGTTCTCTCTCTCCAAGTTTTCGTGATTAATAACTCATACTTGAACTAATTGCGCATGCACGGACTCCCATTAATTAGAAGCTTCACTTTCATTTTTCACTCCCCGACCGAATTACATTAACTCCAAATGATCAGCTCAGCCTTGGACACACGCAAAAAAAAAAAAAAAACCCAAAAAGACCACAAGCTTAACCTGCAGCGCTTACAATCAAGTACATCTTATAGAAACTTGGGCTATAGTTTCATTCATAATTCAGCTGGAGAAAGATACGGGTGTAACAATTTTTAACGTAAATAATTTAGTATTGGTAGAGCGAAAACGGCGATGTTGCTAGAAGTGTGTTTTTGCCAGCTCCCTGTGTCCTCCATCTTTGCTCTCATGAATAATAATGACTCCGGTCTGAGGATAATTTTAAACCTGCGCTCGGTGTGGGCTTTCCAAAAACCTACAATTCCAAAGAGAAAAGCAGAGATAATCAGCCATTCTTTCTCAGACCACAGGAGCGGTCCTCGGTCTCTAATTAGGGAGTACAATATTCAAATACGAGCCGTGCCAGTCCAAGGTTCTCATAATCCATAATAATAATAAGAGAAATGTATTAATCAGTGAAGATATTCGGTTACTGTGGTCTGGGTTGGGATTGGACTCGCGAAAAGATTTGGAAAGAGTCTGTTTCGTTAAAAACGTTCGTACAAATTTGTATTTAAAGGGTCTGTTTTATGATCTCAAACCGGAGATCATCAGAACTAAACCAGAACCGGACCAGGACTAAACCAGGACTAGACCAGGACTGGACGGGGCAGGACCAGGACTAGACCAGGAGTAGACCAGGACTAGACCAGGACTGGACGGGGCAGGACCAGGACTAGACCAGGACTAGAGCAGGACTGGACTAGGACTAGAGCAGGACCGGACCAGGACTCGACCAGGACTAGAGTAGGACCGGACCAGGACTAAAGTAAGACCGGAC